GTGCATGTCTACGTGAACCAATAGATCTAATTATTGTTAAGAAAATTAAAGAAATGGAGGTTATTGGTGTGTGTAGTGTAGCAGAAGTCCGGCGTCATTTACGCACATTCGTGCAAAATGAACTATTTCGAGGCAAGGATCTTCCACCTGAATCTAGCAGACGTTACTATCCGACTGACGGTGACATCCGCAACATACTTTACACGTCGAGGATTGGGGAACGAAAAGCGCCAGATGATCAGATGAATTTGGATTTAAAGTTGAACGGGTGGAAGGAAACGAATCCAGATGACTTTATTTTTTTTAGGGTGATTGATTGCATCATGACTGCATTTTTTTTCTAGTAAAAATAGTTGACTAGAAGTAAACTGGAAAACGAGGTTTTAATTTTATATAATTTTCTGTATTTATAGCCATCGGCACAAAGAAGATCAATCCAAATCCCAATTTCTTTTCGTTTACCAATCTCAGTGAATCTTACTCGGAACGTAGAAGGAACAACTTTATTACTGACCTTGTGGAGATATTAATAACGCAGTTTTTACCCGATAGCTACAAGAAGTAAGTTTTCAGAACTGCATGATAAATTTCGAATGTTCGTTTTGCTTATTTGTTTTGCTTCATTTTATGTAGCTAACGTACCTTGGCAGCTACTAAATACTAATATTATATGTCCTAAAAATATATATTCTAAATTTTATATAATTTTATAGATTCTAAAAACCATATCGCTTTTTTTAAAGATAGAAAGAAAACAACATCCGATGTACTGAGTCATACAGATGTTATGACAGCCGTGTACCAAAGTATCTCCACAACAGGCCAAAGTACGTTGTTTGGCATATAATGAAGCGGATGAATGCTGAAATCAAAGGTGCTCTCATCACACAGCAGAATGCGGCAGAATTAAGGAGAGAAACAATTGATTTGGACGAAGGAGGAGACGTGCTGAATCGAAAAAGAAGCATTAAGCCTCAAACGGTGAAATCTGGTGAAAAGAAGAAAAGAGATGCGGTAGATAACCAAGCGGCGACGAATGCGAAGAACGGTAACGATGTGTGGATAACGGTGAACGGCATCAAATTGACCTACGAATTGAGAGATATCTTGGCACAGAAGATTAGGATGGCTCACTGATGATCATATTGATGCTGCTCAATGGCTCCTTAAAGATTTGGGCACAGGAGTGGGTGGTCTGAATCATATTGCAACAATGACGCATTGTAGTAGACTTGTCGTCTCACATGAGAGCCATCAAACAATTCAGTGCCACAATATTGGAGGGCATTGGGTAACGTCGAGCTCTGTCACCGGGAATGTTGTCGTTTACGAAAGGTCAAGTAAGAACCTAAACACTTCCCTGAAGCGGCAATTAGTGTGTTTGTACAAAGGGCTTGCTAAGGATGATGGTTCTCTTATCATCGCAATTGTTCTTCAACAACGGCAAATCATCAGACTGCGGCCTTTTCAGTATAGCAAATGCTGTTGCTCTAGCAAATGGAATCAACCCAGAGACAGTTTAATGGCATCAAGACAAAATGCGCAAGCATCTACAAAAATGTTTTGAGGAGAAAAGAATAGAAATGTTTCCTCATGATGAGAGGAAAATCGCTTGCACAAAGAGCTACTACGTGGTGAGCATTTATTGCAACTGCATGAAGCATGTTCCTGGAGCTGAAATGGTTCACTGCAATGTATGCAAAAATTGGTTCCATCACGGACCACAACAGAAATGTCTTACACTTTCAGCAACTGAGGTCGCAGCACCGGCCACAGATGATCCCTTCATATTCCAATATTGCAAAAGAGACAGTTCCAAGAGCGTTTCTACCAGTGCTATTCTAATTTCATAAATTTCACCTGAAAGAGAGTCACAAAAGAGAAAAACGAAATTGGGAAATTTGTGTCGAAGGCTGCGAAAGCTGCTAAATTGCCAGGCAACATCACAAACCACTCGGTAAGAAAAATCTGCATTTCACGTTTAATGGATTCCGATATTCTCGAGAATTTCGTCGCCCAACTTAGCAGTCATACAAATCAGCTTCGACAGCCCATCAGCGGAAAATGTCGTTAGTTTTAAGTCGTTCTACAACCTCGTCTTCTGCCACAAGCTCGAGAAGTTTGCAGCCTTTGGAGATAAATCAAGCATCAATTCAAACTAACGAAGCCTCCCTTGTCAAACAACAAAGCCAATCCTATAAATTCAATCGCTCTGCGGTCGGAGGCATGTTTTCGGGAGCAACAATTCAAAAGATCGAAGGCTGCCATTTCAACTTTTGGCTCAACAGCGGCAAAAGTCCGATCAGAGAAAAGACGTGTTATCTTGAGCGATGACAGTGAATCGGACTAACTACTAACTACTTTATAGTAAGCTTTAATATGAATATTTATACATCTAAACGGCTTTTGTACGCTTACGACCTTGTTTTGAAATAATAATAAAATTTTGTCTTTGTTGGAATGAAACCAGGATCCTTTTGTGTTTCTGGGGGTGAATGAAGCAGATCGACGCCGTGTTATGAAAGCTGACTACAAGACAATGGACAAAAACAAAAAGCGAAGGAAGGTGCTGAGAGGGAAAAGAAAACAGCAAGTGGACAAGAATGAATAAAGAGAAGGAAAAACTTATGAACCAGGAGCATTTTTAATCATGTTAAAAAATATATATAAAAGCTTATAAAAGCAAAATGCTCATCAATGACAGTTGTTTCCAAACTATAAGCTCAAATTTCACAAAATGACATTTCACCGACTTTAGGGAAGACTAGCTCATTCAACATTTGTGCTAACTACATAAAATTTTCAGATTTTATCATTGTAAATAGATCTGAAACCTAAATATATAATTAAATATTTATAATTTAATTAATTTTGCCGACCCAAATCCTGGTCTCGTTATAAACAAATTAGGATTTTTTCACTGTAATAAACAAATTTATTAATTTTTGAGGTTTAAATTGGACATATTAGGTCGAATTTTAACCTATTTTTTTACCTTTTTCTATCCAATATTGCTACAGAGCCAAAAGAGGGCATTTTTTTGGTTATCGAAGGGTGTGGTTCGGTTACCATGGCAACAACACAAGTAGAATATTTGTACATGAGGTCAGGGAGTGATGCTCTACCATCCCCAACATAAATAAATTTTAGAAAACAAAAACAAAGGATTTTAAAAAATTTTGTCCAAGACCACCTTATTGAGGCAAATGGTAGGTGTTTGTGGCTTGACACGTAGAAATTGAATTAACTCGAACCTTTATTTTGTGCAAGTGTTATTTGATCCGTTTTTGATCAGTTTTAATTATATATTTAAATATTGATAAGTTGCATCGATCTATAGTAATATTTCAATCATTCTTAATAGCTAAACACGATTGTCAGCGCCGCAGTTAGGAGTTACGAAGGAAAACGCGCGCCAATTTTTGACTAAAACCACGAAGTTGTTGTATATGGTTTACGTCAATTAATTGATGAACCAACTATAGTTACAGAGGTATCCAGTACTTTGATAGATCTTTGCATTACAAATTTATTGACGAATGTAGTTAACTTGGGCGTTCTGCACCTCTCTATCAGTGGCCACTCATTAGTTTGTGTGGTGCGAAAGGCTCATTATATATTCGAACCGATCGAAAAGTCATTAGAAGTAAAAAATGAAACATTTTAATAGTAGAAACTTCCTAAGATATTTAATTTGCCAACCATGGGAAGATGTCAGTCGTAGTGCTGGAGACCCAAACAAAATGTGGGGAATCTGGAAGTCTTTGTTTATGGATGGTTTTTACAAGCATGCGCCCAAAACACTAAGAGAGTTGGTAAAAAGAAATCCCCTTGGGTCACTGATGAATTAATGCGCCTAACATATAAACGAAATTATCTAAAAAACCCAGTTACCCAATCTGGAGATCCAAGCATATTGCTTCATTATAGGCAAATAACGAACTGAAAAAAGCTAAGCGACTTTATTTCACAAATAATCTTGATCTGCATAAGCATGGATAAGAAAAAGACATAGAAATTGATAAAATTAACTTAACGAAACCACAGACATACACTGCATATTACGGAAATTAAAGCAGGCGATCAAGTAGTAAATTCGCCAGAGAAAATGGCCGAAAATAAAATAAACATTATTATTTCTCGAATGTCGATAATAATCTTGCAGCTGAAATACCCATAACTGCATCTTCTATAAGAGCGGTGCAAAAAACGACTTGAGAAATTATCGGCCCATGTCGATCATTCCAACAGTCTCAAAAGATTACGAGAAAATAATCATCGATCAAGTTTACTAATAACTGAATACGAACAATCTGTTGACTCACTGCCAATCAGGATTTAGATCATTTCATAGCACATTAACAGAATTATTGGAAGTAAAAAATGACTGGTCGGTCAACACAGATAATGGCTTATTAAATGGGGTAGCCTTCATCGATCTAAACAAAAGCCTTTGACACCATAGATCATGAAATTAGCCATCATAATAATGTCCTTACTTGCGTCGAAACTGCTATTAAGAAAAACCAGTTCCTAATCTTCTGCATTGATGATTATCACAACATCCACACCCATCACAGACCTGAAGCAAGGGCACAAACACAAGCAATTCACATGGCTACTTTGCTACTTAAGGTTTTTCCTGTAATTGAAGCAGTTCCACAGCAAGACAATAATATCCTTTTAAACTCCCCAAAAAAGATTCAAGAAGTTAAAAATGATGTTTCCAGCAATATGTCCAATCTTTCCAAAACATATGCCGAAAATATGCCAGATTGGGTTTTGGCAAAGTATTTCTACTCGGAAGCTGAGAGACAGAGTGTTAGTCCATGACTGTCAGCAAACTGAAAACCAAAAATGAGATGTTGAAACGAAATGATGAAATGAAACTTGTTGATAGTATTAAGTTGCCTCTAAAATCATTCGACAGTAGTTTGGGGCCGTTGCTATTTCTTATACAAGGCTAAGTTACGCCTCCAATTCAACAGACGAAATACAAAATGTTGTTAACTCCGAAAACCGAAACCTATGATTGGGTTATGGCCAATAAGTTTGAATATAGCGAAAACGGAGTTTATGATAGTAGGATCACGGCGAGGGTTGAATATATATAGCATTCAGAATGATATAGCTATTGCGATACACGATCATGAAATAAAATGGGTTGAGGTTGTCAAATCTTTAGGTGTGCATATTGACAGTCAACTATTGTGGGCAGAGCACTAAAAAACTAAAAAAGTTTCTTCTGCTATTGGTGCGCTGATTTCAGCGCGGTTGAGGACACATATGATGGTGTGAAAGTTGAAAAGATGGATTGTGTGGGACATGTACAAAAACGTATGGGCAAGCACCTGATGAACTTAAAATCTACCACAAAAGGGAAACTTAAGGATGGAAAGACTATTGGAGGACGTGGTCGACTCAAGGAAGAGAAAATAAAGCAAATACAAAGATATTATGGATTAGCAATTAGGCAAAATACCTTGTCTGCAGCTAACCCAACAGAAAGAGATATATCAGTTGCTGCGTATGCAATGAAGAAAAACATAATTGCAATTTTATACCACTGTGTGGAATCTGAAGAGAAGAAAAAACAACATCGTTTTTGTCCAGTCGGGTCTGATTCTTGGTGTAAATGGCAGCAGGATCAGGCTTTGGGAACAGCTATGTACAAAGGTGATGACTGCTTGCCTCGTGTCTTTCTTGAGTTACTTAGGCCTATCTTTATGAACCTGAGTGATTCAAAGCTATTGGAAAGATGTGTTCGAGGCACAACACAAAATAATAATGAAAGCATAAATTCAATTGTGTGGGCAAGATGTCCAAAACACAGGCACCATGGGGCGAAGGTGGTCCGATGTGCTGTGGCATCAGCGGTTTGCCACTTCCACAGTGGTGCCAGAAGCAGGGAGAATGTAATGGAGAAATTGGGAATAACAGCTGAAAAATTCACTAAGAAGTCTTCACTCTCAAAGGACAGAAAACGGATCAGACAAGCTGACAAGCAGATCACTGAAAAACACAAAAGGCGACGCCAAGCAGAACAACTGAGAAAAACCCGCCACGAAGAAGCTCTACGAGAGTTGGAAGGGACAACTTATGAAGCAGGTGGTTTCTAACTATGGCCAGTATAACTAGAATGCCAAAAACTGAACAAAATCACCCAATAGGTTGCATGAAATAACTTCCAATGTTGTTTGTAATCTTTGAAACTAATTTTCTCAAATTGTGTAATTCCGGCAGTTGAGAAAAGATATTTCCAGTTGTATTTAACATATTGAGCTGAAATTTTCAGCATTTATTCAGTTATTCTTGAGGGCTTTGTGCCTTAAATAAGCATAGAGAATTTTCATAGCTCATTTGTAGCCTAATTTATTGCCAAAAGTATACCTGCGAAAAACTACTGAAAGTTTGCAGTGCCGCCAAGTCCAAAATATTTATGATATAAAAAAGTTCTATGCTCATTTAAGAGAGTAAAACCTACACTTCTAAAAAATATATTTAGATTAAAAATGCTGCTCATTTAAAACCAGATATCTTTTCTCATTCATGGCCTATTTTGGTACAGCATGGGGTGCGGTTACTTGGCTGGTGTCAGGTTACAAATGGTATTTAGGCAAAATGAACCATTTTTTTGGAATTTATAGGTTGTAAGCTTTCAGAAAATATATATTTTGTCATATCTATGCCAAATAATTTCAATATTAAAGCAGTTTAAACCAAGCCTATGTTTTCATGTTTACCCTCCCCTTAGCAATCCAGGGCCCAAAAAGTACCAAATTTCTGTGGTGGGGGAAATTTAGATTTGAGACCCGCTTGTAAAAATGTGAATGATATCTTGCCCGTTTGACGTTCGAAGAAGATTACTCAAAACATTTACTCCGTTTTTTAATATAATTTCATGACAAGTATTGCTGTGTATTTAGTAGCAATGTTATTGAAGACCTCGTTGCTCACTTGTTATCAAAAGGCATCTCAAGAGTTCCAAACCTATTAATTCAGATGCCACAGCCCTACCAAACACTCTCACATTTCCTGAGAGTTCCTCTGTGCGAGTGCAGATGGCAATAAAAATGGTTGTGTTGCTCATGAGCGAACACAGCTGATTGCTGATGTAGGAACCTTTTATTATGGTTTGTCCAGCCACCCAAAGCAAGGTGACTACAAGAGAATTGGAATTTTAGTGTGCGAGAAGTTTCCTGAGTTGAGAGATTCCAATCAAGCAAGCTATTGGGTAAGTGTCACAATTAAGGGGGAACATTCTGTATATACACTTAACGTATACTTCTTAATGACCCATTGGCAATGAGTCAATTCATGATTAATTGACTCAATGTGAAATGACTGATTACAAAATTCTCTCAATTCTAATCCCAAATATCATATTTTTTCTACATATACACTGCAAAAAATGAAAGTCTAGGCCAGATTATTTATCTGATTTTAAGATTTTATTTCTCAAATCAAGATTCCACTCCTTATTTTAAGAAAATTATCTTGTAATAAGATCGTATATCTTGATGAGATCTGTAAAAATACCGATTTTTCTTAAATTAAGGTAAAAATTCTTGACTCAAGATACTTAATCTTGTTTTAAGAATATAAATCTCGCTTGAAGAAAAAAAAAAGCATTTATAGTTTTTGAAAGAAAGAATCCAATTCTTAAATCAAGAATTTATTTCTTATTTTCAGAAAGCTATCTTGTTTCAAGAACATTAGTCTTTATGTAAGGTGTTATTTCTTATTTCAAGAAAGCTATCTTGTTTTAAGATAATAAATCTTGGTACAGCGAGCTCAAAATTATTCAATTTCTTAAAACGAGTCATATTTTCTTTTAAAGAGATAATATATCTCTTTTTAAGAACATTAATCATGGTATAAATCCATATTTAAAGAAAGCTATCTTGTTTTAAGATATGTATTCTTATTTAACAGAGTTAAATTTATCTTGTTTTAAGAAATTTGTTTTAAGAAAGTTTAACCAAGAAATTTGTCTTGTTTTAAGAAATTAAATCTTGGTCAATCGGAGCTTAACGACTAACTGTTTCTTAGACAAAGATAATTATTATTCATCTCGGTTTGATAACAAATCTAAAAAATGGCCTCTCCCGTGATGAATCAAGATGTTAAAGCTTGGTTCATCAGAGCTGCAAACGATTTATTTTAGGATGAGTTATTGTTTTTTAGTCAAAGATGATTTATCTTGTCTTAAGAAAATATTATAGTCGATTCCTGAAGGAAAACAGTGTCAGTCTATGTCTCTTATGCCAAGAAAGCTATCTCAGCTTGTTTCGCAGCAAATACGTCTTCGTCTAACAACTGAGAGTCGACATGTATGCATTTCTTAAAACTAGTCACTGTTTCTTGGTCAATGAAAATTCAACTCGTTGCCATTAATACTTTGTGCCTGTTATAATTATTTGCATGGCTTTCTCAGCGTGTTAAATTTCTTCAAGTTATAAAAACTCTAAACTGTATTCATTTATACAAACATATGCACGTATTGAGCAAGGTTGCAAGCCATGCGTGATGTGTGGCACTGACAAAGGTGCAGTACTGCTCAAACCCCACTATATATGGAACAATTTCGCATTGGTCATTAATTTATGCAATAATAATAATTTTAATATGTCAGTACTGTAAAACAAAAATAGTATGACAAGAACAAATGCATCAAAGTTAAAGGTGAAGTGTATAGAATCCAACATGAAACTGATACTATAATTCTATTGTACAAACCCAACTAATCTTAGATTACGCTTTGTGATCGAATGATCAATTTTATGCGACCTATACTAGCTGTATATAATAAACGATTTAACTACAGTATAGTTCTGTATCAGTTCAAAGTTAAAGTATATAATTGCATTTAGCGATGCAGGGGGTTCTCCCCAACAACATGAAGTCTTATTAGATCCCTCAGGTCATACTTAGTAGGAATGAAAGTGGAATCAAACTGTTTCAGTGTAGAATATACGTTAAAATCCAACATACTTGCGTATAAGCAGAACTTTGTTGGAACACCATCTCCAGGATCTTCAACCTCATAAGACAGAAGGCCATCGTTAAATTCAACTGTTTTCAAAGGTGTGTATTCAAATATAGTATCTTCATCTGCAAGCCAAATTCTCTGAATTCTTCCAAATTCGGGCAACATGCTTGTAAAGTAGCATCAACTGCAATGATACAGCCCTTATTGGGAACATATTTTGTTCCGTGCAATTGAATCCACTTACATGTAAAAACGTTGGTCAAACTTTCAGGATTGGCGTAAAGCAAGCAGTCAGTAATTCGTTGAAAAAAGTGGGCTTTCAACATATCTGTCACCATACTGGATGGACCAATAACCTTTTCGGACTTAAATAACGGGTGTTGGCAGGGTGTTTGGGTTTCAAAGTCTGCACATTCATCAACCTGGCATCGCTCTGCCAAAGAGAGGCAAATGTTCTTGAAGTTCTGTAGTGGAGCCAGGTCTTTGAAATAACGGTGCCTGGCTTCAAAACGTAAACAACAGTGCCTTACAAGTGGACCAAGATACACAATTTGCTGCGGTATGTGGAGCATATAATGCATTTTGGGGGTAATATTCACACCTGGGAACACTTCCTTAAAGAGGATGAGGTTTGCTTCGATTAAAGTTTCCAATTCTTTAATAGTTTCAACACTGATGACTGGTGAAAAGCAGATCTGAACAATCAATGAAATCTGCAATATAAGCTGGTATTGCGGACAGTCATTAGCAACGAAGTTCTTCAAACAAATGGGCAAATACTTCAAGAAGATTCTAGCATGTTCAGCCGTTTGTTTCAGTTTATATTTCTCTTGGCCATTAAACACTGTTTCTCTTAAAGGCGGAGGACGGTTAGCTTCATCTTGGTACCCAAGCTTAAGGTGGCTCCCTACAGTTTTAAGAATATTGAAAACTGATGATTTAGATTGAAATTTTTGGCAGGATATTTTTTGCTAAACGAAATGAAATTTTTTAGATATATTAACTAACATTCTAACAGTCAGAAATTGCCCATAAGCATGACGTCATTACTGTTGTTATGGTAACAATGGCGATTCAATATGGCCGACATTTTACCTATTCACGCATTTTACTCGAAAACAAGTGCGGTTACCCCAATTTTTTATTTTATAAAAAGTTTTCTTACTAAAAAATGGAAAATTTGAACGAGTTAAAAAAAATTCTATAGAGCCAAAATTATTAAAAATTGAAAAACATGATTTTTCGTTATAGAAATTTTTTGGCTCTATAGAATTTTTTTTAACTCGTTCAAATTTTCCATTTTTTTGTAAGAAAACTTTTTATAAAATTAAAAATTGGGGTAACCGAACTTGTTTTCGAGTAAAATGCGTTAATAGGTAAAATGTCGGCCATATTGAATCGCCATTGTTACCATAACAACGGTAATGACGTCATGCTTATGGATAATTTCTGACTGTTAGAATGTTGGTTAATATATCTGGGAAATTTCTTTTCGTTAGCAAGAAATCTCGTGCTAAAATTCTAAATCAAAACCATAAGTTTTCAAAATTTTTAAAAATTGTATGGAGCCACCTTAAGTTGGCAAAACGTACTGTTCAATTGTTGCAATGTTATAGATCCATTATCAATAAAATATTGCAATGCATAGCGGACTTCGTATTGAACAGACCCTTCCAAAAGGACATGCATTATGTCTTGGGGAAGCTGTTTCGTTATGTCAAATTGAGGTAAGCGGCTCAATACACTTCTTTCGTTAATTCCATATGTGGTCACCAGATTTTTCCTGCTTTCTTCTGTTGGAGCTGTTTCAATATCTTCGCAGTGTTGACGATACTGGACTAAGTTTCTTTCAGTAAAACAGCTAGCCCTGAAATTCTCTTGCATGCTTAGAAATGTACATAAACAATTTCGACATTTCTGGTGAGAAAAACCAACCTTTACTTTGAATCCTCCCCACTGGTGCTGCCCTTCGGTGTCACCAAGGCAACTGACTACGCCACCAAACAACTCCATAAAATTTCCACCTACCACAAATGTATAGCCATTTGCCAGTGTATGTAGGTCATTAATTATTGGGGTTAAAATCTTATTCTGACCGTACATTGAAACATCTTTAGCCTTCACAATAGCCAGTAGCCGAATGGCACAAAGCTTTGACCTATATTTGGGGCCAATGTTTCCAAGTGTATAATAATAAAGAT